CTCTCCCTCTCCCTCTCCCTCTCCCTCTCCCTCTCCCTCTCCCTCTCCCCCATGTATGTATGTATGTATGTATGTATGTATGTATGTATGTATATATGTATATATGTATGTATTGTAAGTTCTGTAACCCTAATACAGATTTTGGAGCCAAAAGTGGTTCTAGAGCAACAGAAGTATAAGGATGACTCCTAAACATCTGAAATAGGCTTTCCAATTTGCCAGCACCTACAGTTGTCAAAGCTTGTTACTGAAGCTTCTCCTGGGACTTTGCAGAGTACTGAAAGCCCATGGTGGGAACTATTTTACAAAATTGAAGAGACAAATACATTCGATTATCCGGATTGAGTGTTTATGAGAGGCAATAGATTTGGTGCCTGTCCTGTCTATCAAGATTGTTAAGGGAAGTGTATACTAATTTCGGAAGGAAGTTAAGAGCAGATGTTTCTCATTTACTAAAGATGGTTTCAGTGCTGTCCCTTCTGAAGAGGGATGTGGCCAAGGAGCTCACTTATTCTTTCCAGTGAAAGGATGAATAAAATTGGGAAAGTCCTCAAGGTTTTAAGAGTCAATTAATTTGAAGATGACCTTAATGCAAGGCAAGAGAAAAATTTCATCATTTATAGTATCTACAATAAAGACAGCAACTGGAAAGATTCCCAAAGCTCACTGTTTGAATGCCTTGTATTCAGAAGAAAAGTCTGGTATTTCATCTGTTCACAATAATGTTTGCTACAAAACTTACAAATATCCCCAGTAGCATTTAAGGAATTTAATTCAGAGCCAGGCATGGTGGATAGTGAACCTTTAATCTCAGCACTCAGTAGGCAGAAGCAGGCAGACTCCTGTCTACTGTCCAAGGCCAGCCTGGTATATGTAGGGATCTAGGCTATTTAGGATTGCCCCCCCTCCATTTCTCTCACCTTTATTTATTTTTTTTTTAGCTGCAGGATTATAATTCCATTTTATTTAATTTTCTGCTTAGTGGAAATTGAAGCTATATGAGCTTATCTTTTTTTTTTTTTTTTTGAGACAGTTTCAGTTTGAGACAGAGACAGTTTCCTGGTTGTCCTGGAACTCAGAGATCCACCTGTCTCTGCCTCTCATTACTGGGATTAAAAGGCATGCACCACCACTGTCAGGCCATATATGAGGTTGTTCTGTTCTATTTATTTGTTTGCTTAAAGGGAAAATGTTAAGTCACTACTCTTTCATCCAGAACCCCATCCGTTTCTCCAGGTACCATCAGTAAACTGTCACAGTCTCACTCCAGCCTTAGCTACACTGTAGAGAGGAATCAGAACCTGTGTGGGGGACAACACTCACTTTGCTTTAGAGATGAATTTATAAGTGTCATTCCAGTAAGCCAGGAGATCTGTTGCCTCTTCATCATATACTCGAATGTTATGATACTCAAAGACTCCAGGGAAGAAGTTATCTATCTCTCGAGTGACGTTCAAGATATACCGCACCCTGTGAAGAAACCAAAGGAGGGCATGATTCTCACGCTAAAACTAATTTCCAGCCCTGTATCTGCCATGTCCAATACCTAAATTCCATCTTCAGCTTATGTATGGTTATATAGTCTCATCTTTGACAGTATTTTGGAAACATCCCTAATATCTATATACAACAATCAAGCTGATACCCTAGCATAACAACCTAGCATTTATGTTGCTAAAATTACCAATAATAAACTTTCATTTGGAAGTTGTTTGTATAAAACAAGGCTACTGATATACCCCCAAAAAATAGAGAAAGGAAAAAATTTATTTTTCTGAATGCCAGACTATCAGGCAAGAAGTTGTAAAGATTCATGGAGAGCTGGACCTGAAATTGTCCAAGTCTATCTGGCCACATTCCTGCTGAGAGTTCTCATAAACTGGGATGCTGGCAGAGAAGGGTTTCTCTATAAAAGCTTCTCTATCACCTCTCTCCCACACCACCTTAGTTAATGCTTAGGTTTAATTTACCAAAAGTTCTTTTTCTTTCAATGTTATATAGACTTTAAACATCACTAGAGTTTACCATAGCAACATAGGCTCAGTTCTTTCTACAAAACTCTTTCCTTCAAACAACCAAATGTGGGGTTCCATAAACTCAGTTTCAGAAGAAGGAGGAAGAAGAGAAGGAGGAAGAAGAGGAAGAAGAAGAGGAAGGAGGAGGAGGAAGAAGAGGAAGAGGAGGAGGAGGAGGAAGAAGAGGAAGAAGAGGAGGAGGAGGAAGAAGAGGAAGAGGAGGAGGAAAAACTACAAGAAGAATATAATCACTCTGGTCAAGGCCGTATAGGCCCACAATTTCTGAGACAGGAATTGAATTTGCTTCACTGCAGCACCAAAGCCTATTAATAGAAATGATTTTATTTTTTTAATTTAAAAAATGAAGCACACAGTAAGAATGTAAATGGTGCAATTGCTGTGGGAAATAGTCGGCAATTCCTGAGAGGGCCAAACAGATTACCACACAAGCATTACTCTCATGCCACAGCATGCATACAGGGGTCACCGCAACAGTATTCACAATAGTCAAAAGCTGGCTGTCAGATGATGACATTAGTGGCTTCTAGAGACAGGGAAGAAGGAAAATATGACAGAGGCAGCATGCATAGTCTCTTTCTTGTTTAAAAAAAGTTCTTAATTAATTAGCTAGTTTATATAACTCAGAAACTAAACCCCACAGAACTGTATACTTTAATTGTATTAATTATATTGCATTATGCAATAAATGCAATATCAATAAAATGATTAAAAGTAAAAGCAAGCCAGGCAGTGGTGGCGCACGCCTTTAATCCCAGCACTTGGGAGGCAGAAGCAGGTGGATTTCTGAGTTCGAGGCCAGCCTGGTCTACAGAGTGAGTTCCAGGACAGCCAGGGCTACACAGAGAAACCCTGTCTTGAAAAGCCCCCCCCCCCAAAAAAAAAAAGTAAAAGCAAGCGCACACTCACTTTATTTTTATTTATTTATTTATTTATTTATTTTTCTAGACACAGTCTCTCTATGTAGCTCTAGCTTCCTTCTATGTAGACCAGCCTGGCTGAAAACTCAGATCCATTTACCTTTTCTTCCTGAGTGCTGGGATTAAAGGTGTAATTGCTGATTTTATTTAAGATAAAAATGAGGGGCTGGAGAGATGGCTCAGAGGTTTAGACTGCTTGCTGCTCTGGCTTGCTCCTGAACTCACACACACAAAATTAATAATAATAACCCCCAAACCTAATCAGTTTCCTACTTCCAATCCTATACTTCAGTAATGGATTATGGCATCATCTCTATAGAGACAGGACAAACTTCCTAATTCTTTTCATTTCAAAGCTAAATAATGCCCACTACTGTATGGTATTGTAGTTCCTTGAAATTTCTTTTCTGTATCAGCCATTATGTGACTTCATGTGGAGTAAAACTTGGAGTTAGTTTCTATAGTCATTAGACTATCTGAAAATGACCTTAATGTTAAAACACGTGCTTTGAAATAACATAAAGCACCAGCAGGGATCAGTACACACAGCAGGGATCAGTACACACAGTCTTGTGAATAAAGGCACACACTAAAGCTTAAGCGTCACTGCATTTAAGAAATAAGACCTAAGTAGATGTCTGTAAATCCAATCTTTCTTCCTTCTCTTTCCCCTTCCCTTCTCTCTCCCTCCCTCCCTCCCTCCCTCCTTCCTTCCTTTGAGACAGGGTTTTGCTTTATAGCCCTGGGTGTCCTGGAACTCACTTTGTAGATCAGGCTGGCCTCTAACTCGGAGATTCTCCTGCCTCTGCCTCCTGAGTGCTGGGATCAAAGGTGTACCTCACCACTGCCTAGACAATCATTCTGTTGTTGTTTTTAAATTTAAATCATTCTGTTTTTAAAGACAAGAGTCAGTTGCACTTTGTAGTTTAGCCTTCTAAAAGTGAATGATGGCTCATATTCCACAGTAGGATGACTGTGGATAGCTACATACTGTACATTTCAAAAAGCAAGGAGAAAATATTTTTGAAGAGTTTTCACCATAAAGAATTGATAAATGGGGGCGGAAGAGAAGGCTCAATGGTTAAGAGCGCTGGCTGCTCTTTTAGAGAGCTCAGGTTCAATTCCCAGCATAGCAGTTCACAACTATCTGTAACCCCAGACTCAGGGGATTTGATATACATGCAGGCAAAATACCTATACACATAAAAATAACTTATTAAAAAAAGAACTGAAAAATGTTCCAGATGACAAACTTGATTTAAAACATTAAGTATATATACCCAAACATCACATGGTACCCCATTAATGTATACAGATTTAATGTTTTATAAAATGTTTTAATAAAAGAAGCACTGAGATGGATGAGTCTTCTCTCCAGCTAGGATTAAAGTCTAGTGTATGTATATACAATTTGATTATAATGCATCTGGCAAGCAGGGCTATGTCAAATTGCAGATTCCATACTAAATATCATATATTAGTTTTCTAGAATGATAGACATAAATTTTACAGGATTGTATGTTGTCAAAAACTGTGTCTTACTACCAAGGAAATTTAAGTGAACTTCTGCAGATATGGCAGAGTCAGTGTTTTCAGGGGCAACCAGGGTCTCATCTTCAAGGAACAGGTTATGAAACCCACTGGTGAACAATTTATCTAGTGTTAAGAGGGCACATGGAAGACACAGGATGACAGCCAAGGTCTTTGAATTCTAAGCCCAGATTACTAGCTGATTTCCTCTCGTCATCTGTCATTGGGCAAATGACAATTGTCATGTGTGTATGAATTTCTTATCATCCATTCACACTGACCATCATCTTGGTATGAAGCTCTGAGCTAGGTAGATATAAATTCAAAAGATGAAGATGTAGTCTCCTTTAAAAGTTCCAGACCAATCCTTATTAATAAGAAATCTTCAAGTTATACTTATTTTTATATCTTCAACTAAGCAACTATTTTTTCCTACTTATATATATATTTTTTGTATGAAAACTAGAAGTTCATTTTAGCAATTGTGAACACCTTTTGTATCAGAAGAAAGTAGGGAGTATGCACGGCACTAATCAGGACCTCTGACTCGTGGTCTTTCACGACAATCAAAAATGAGTCATTCTCTTCTTCCTCTGGCCTAGGCAAGTGCTATCACATTTCTAGCAACTACATTTGATTTTTAAAGAGTACCAAACACTTGGGCATTTGTTTTTCAAAGTCCTTCAATTACTACAACTGATCTTTCTTGGGAGGGAAGAGGATGACATGGTTGAGAAAACAACTGTTCTGATTTTTGTAAAATTATACCTGAGCACTGAAAGCAACTCTGAGGATTAAAGTTACCCATTGATACTTCTTTGACAAGAAAATATAAAGATTAAACAGGGACTTCTGTCATACAGGGGTGTCAGCAATTTGCTCTGTGTGCTCACCCTCGGTTCTGCAAGTCCTCTAAGTTCGAGGCATTCCATTCTGAGCCCTATGGAGCCAAAAAGACAAGGTTAGTGAGTATCAGCAAGTCAACTAAACACAGCATCTGAAAAGGAACACTGGGGAGACAGAGCTTCTAAACAGTGACTCAGTAACATGCACTCAATGCCTCTTAGTACCAAGAACTTTTTTTTTTTTAATCACATCTAGTTTTTATCAATGATACTGCAAAAAAGTATCTTTTCCTGGGGATGGGGGCGGTGAGTGTGTGCATATGTGTGAACAGACAAGTGTCACATGTGTATGTGGAGATCAGAAGACAATGTGACTTCCAGGAGTTGGTTATTGCCTTCCACCATTTATATTCTGGGGGACAAATTGAGGCTGTCAGGCTTTGGGCCAAGTATCTTTACCACTGAGCCATCTTGCTGGCCCCAGTGATTTCAAACTTCAGAACCTATTGTTTTATCTCCTAAGAACTAAGATTACGGGGGTGCACCAGTAAATCAGTTTATGTGGCATTGGGAGTTGAGCACAGTGCTATGTTCAGGTTAGGCAAACATTACTAATTGAGGTACATCTCCAGCCATAAATTATTTTTTATAATTTTATCTTATTATATATGTGTGTATATGTACACATGTGTGTTGATGTGGGTGTACTCATGTCATGGCATGTATGTGGAGGTCATACAAGGGGTCAACTTCAAAGGGCCTTTTCTTTCCTACCATGTGGGTTCTGGGACTGACCTCAGGTCATTACGTATGGTGGCAAGTGCCTTTACCTGCTGAGCTATCTTGCTGGCCCCTGGATTTTCCCTTTAAGAGAGGTTTATGTCATACACTTCCAGTTCAGGATCGAAAATTATGAATATGATAAAATGGCCCATTTAATATTACACTGTTTCTCTGTCCTACCACAAGTATAACCAGCTTGCAGCTGAATTCTTATTTGAAAACTCCTTTCTAGAAAGGATTTGTAATGTCAAGTCTTGAAAAAGATAACCAGTAGTAAAGATTCTGTCACTTTATTCATAAGCAAAATTACTCTGTGTCCAATACTCTTGTTTCCCTTGCTTAGCTAAAAAAAAAAAAAAAAAAAAAAAAAAAGCTGTTGTTCTGCAAAAGGTCTCTATTCACATGTAGGTGTTTCTCAGCCAAATCGGACAGCCTCCAGGAGAGCTGTTGATACTAAAATCTGGTTGGGGAAAGGCTGCCAGCTCAGAGAAATTATACAATCTTATAAGAATTTAGATGAATCTTTTCCCTAATAATAACCTGGCTACCCACCAATCAGCTTCACTGCAGATTTTCTTTGAACTATGTTCTAAACATTCCTTCTCCATTATCAGCTGATATTTTCCTGAATAAACAGATCTCTGTGCAGTATACTGCAGAGCTGAGCATTCTTCCAGAGTGAGAGAGAATTGCTGCCTCTTCTCAAAGTCTGGTTTCACTCAGGCATGGCAACTATGCATGAAATGAGGTAACTTTGAGAAAAGTAACTTTGCAATTTGAAACTAGAATAGATCTCTTTTTCCATGCCAATTGCTGGGAAAGTATATACTCACTGGAGAAGACAAAGGGGTTTGGACATAGGACATGTGGTACAAACTGAGAGGAAGCCATCAAAATACGTATAATAAGATGTTTAGACAACACTTTTCAAGCATTTGTTTTGCATGCTGTTAAGCATGCATAAGGTTAAACTTTAGAATGCTATTTGGAAGTTATTTCCTTAAATATGAAAATTATTCACACCTTTAATCCCAATACTCAGGAGGCAGAGGCAGGCAGATCTCTTGAGTTTAAGGCCAGCCTGATCTACAGTTTCAGGACAGGCAGACTTACATAGAGAAACCCAGTCTCAAAAAAACAAAACCAAACAAAAACAAAACAAAAATTAAAATTTCACAATGGAAACAAATGTCTAGAAAACCAAATTGTTTGTGAAACTGAAGAGATTTTTTTCTTTATTCAAAATTAAGTACATGAATATGTACTTTAAAAGTAAAAACTCTAGAGCTGGAGAGATGGCTCAGTGGTTAAGAGGACTTGTTGCTTTTCTAGAGGACATGGGTTCAGTTCCCAGCACCCACAGGGTGGCTCACAACCATCTGTCCATAATTCCAGTTGCAGGGATTTGATGTTATCTTCTGGCCTCTGCATCAAGGTGGTGTACAGGCATACACATACACATAGAAAGAAAATAAAAAAGGTAAGAAATCTAAGCTGGGTATAGTAGCATATGCCTGTAACTCTATCCTTCAGAAGTACTGGAAAAGAAGACCCCTTGCCAGTTCAGCTTTGCACAGTAATTTCATAGCTATAGTCCATATGAATCAAACTAGAGACAAACATGTTCTACAATGTCAAGCTTTCAACGGCATCAAATCTGACTGCATGGTAAAATAAACTCCAGAATGTTCAGAGTACAGTAATCCAGTTTAATCAGTTTCTATGTGTCTATCCTTCTTCTATCCCTTTTCCTGGCTTCTAATCTGTTCAGTTCACATATGTGTTCATTAGAAATTGGAAGTGTGACATTGCTGGATATAGATAATACTGGCCTTTCAATGGATAAGGATAAGAAGCATTTGAAACATATTTGGTCAAAATATATAGGAAGTGGAAATAAAATTTTAGCATTCTTCTTTGCTTTTAAGTATCTTTGATAACCTTGTTCCTACTACTCTGTGTGTGTGTCTTCCTTGAGGCATTCTAGGTCACTGAATGTTTAGGAACTACGAAGAACAATTTTTAGTTACTGACTTATTGGTAATCATGAAAAATAACTTGAGGGCTTCTAGATGCTGTGACATGGTCTTATATGCTTAAATGTCCATGGCTGAGGATGTAGTTCAATGACAGAACATATGCTTAACATGTGCAAGGATCAGGATTTGATCCTTAGCACTGTAGACAACAGAATACAACCCAATAGACTTTCTGTTACAAGTAGGTCCAATCTGCTCTGATGAATTGCAGTAGGTCTTAAATAAGGTTCAGTAGCGAGATATAAGATATAAAAAACATTATGTAACATTCCTACATATAATACATGTAAATAACATTAAAAGCACAAATAATATAGCAGTGTCAGTAAAATAATGTAGCAAAATGACTAGAAAGCAACAAGGCTTGAGAACATAGTGCTTATGCTTTTAATGTTCGTTACATCAAAAGTTACATTTTTAGATTTATTTATTTATCTACGTGAGTGTTTTGTTTGCCTGATCTCCTGTGTACCAGGTGGATGCTTGGTAACTGCAGCACCAAGCATGAAAAAACAGTTCCATCCAAAACACTTTTCTCTTGGTCAGGAGGGGGCTTCAGGTCCCCAGAAACTAGAGTTACAGATGGTTTTTGAGTCATGTGGGTGCTGAGAATTGAATCTGGGTCCTTTGCACGAATAGTAAGTGCTCTTAACCACTGAGCCATCCTTTCAGTCCAGTTATATTTTATTTAAATATAATAAAGCAAAAATTTCTTTCCTTCTTGTCTTGAGTCTAAAGTTAGTTTCAAAATACCAGTTAAAGTGGTTTTAAAACTTACCAGGAACACATGCTCAAATATCTGTGTAGGACTATCCATTTGACCAAGGATCACTATCATTTCATTATCTATGAATTCCTTAAATTCTCGCAAGTTGCACACCATCTGCATTTCCAGCTCTGTGCGTATCTGAAACAGAGGTGATGTACTGTATTAATCTCTGAAAGGTTCCTCTATGCTTTTAATACTATTTTAACTCCCTATCTATTGTTATCCCACTTCTGGCTTTGGAACAATGAGGACTCAAAGTTGCTTACCTCTTTGGATGTGATATTCTCCAAATCCTTTTGCATCATAATCTCCCTTAATTTGGTCTTAATAAGCCTTTCTGTTCGCTCACGTTCAGTTGGTCTGAGAATAAACAAGTAGTGATTTTTGGTAAGCAACTTAACCAAAGCAATGACTTCATTCACCATTGAATTATGTTTCCAAACTATTACTCTTACTCTCATATTTATATTACAGAAGGAAATGAAAATTTTGAGTGAATACATAGTGAGTTTCAGGACAATGTTGGGCATTACATAATGAGACAATTCCTAAAACAAACAAACAAACAAACAAACAAACAGACAAAAAACCCAAAGCTAACAATAAGAACAATAAGAACACACTCCCAAACCAAACCAACCAACATTAAAAGAAAACAGACAGAATATAAACATGTAAAAATTACTTGTACAGGTTCTATATGTTTAAATGTCTATAAATACATCATAAATATACAGATTTATGAAGAAGCAAAGATAAGCTGGGTGTATCAAGTATACCTCCTGTTCCTACCAAGTGCCTTTGGATGTCATTCCTTACTGAGGTAGAATACTAATTTGGGTAGCCTAGTGGTGTGACTCTCAATGGAACTGGATCTTAAAATGCCATCCTATGCTGATCATTCATTGCTGTGGGCCTATAAACTAGGAAAGGAGAGCTGATCCATCTTTCTCCAACAAGGCAAATTTTATTGCAAAATGGGTTGTAGGGGCTCAGCTATTTGGATGGAACAGTTCCATGGCAACTCTCAGAATAGCTCTGTGAATTTTTTTATGTTTTTGGAGACAAGATCTTGTCATGTGGTCCAGGCTGGCCTAGAATTTTCAGTCCTTCTGCTTCAGTTTCCCAAGTACTGGGATTATAAGTTTATATCACTGCCCTTTCCTTCCTGCTCATTTCTGTAAAGTTTTTATATTAATTTTATAGTTAAGGAAACAAATATGTTAAAAGATACACTGGTAATCATAGAATTAGCAGGAAAATCAGACCATGCAGCCCAGCCTAGCTCTCTATCTGCAGCATTGTGTTATTTTCTAGCCTTCTGACTCATTAAATAAAATTACTCAAGGCCAGATGTGGTGGTACATGCTTTAGTCCTAGCACACTGAGTTCGAGGCCAACCTGGTCTACACTGTGACTTCTAGGACAGCCAGTGCTACATAGTAAGACCCTGCCTCAAAACAAACAAACAAACAAACAAACAAACAAAATAAAATAAATCTACTCTTGGAACGTTAATATGAATCGGCAGCTGATTCGTCACTACTAGAAAAGCACTGGTTTAGATTAACTAGCTGCTTCTCTCCAGAGGCAGGGCTTTACATTATGGAGAACTTGAGTACTTTCTATTCCATCTTTGTTCCTACCTACTCAAGAAAGGTATCTGTTCTGTATCTCCTTATTTAGAAATGGACATGGCCTAAGCCTTCAGGCATCCTGCCTGTTCCTGCTGCTTACAGCCTTATCACTGGCTGCAAAAATAGCCTTGGTAATCTCCAATGCTGCACACTGCATCTCCACACCCTTGGAGCTCCACAGTGCTTAGGTTCAGCTTCTCATGAACCACACAGCACACAGCTAATACTGTGCTGTTCTCAACAAGGCATTTCTGTTGTGATTAGGAGGACAATTCTTATCATTTTTTTCTGGACATGGCTAATGTGGGAGGAAATGTGTAATGACAGTCTTCCACTGAAAAGATGTGTTGATAAAAACAGATTTTAACAGCTGTGTGCATGCATGGGTTCCATTTCCTAGTTAAACAGTTTTTCTCTGAGTCCTTTCCATTCTGAGGTGGAGTAGTTTGGCAGCAGACAGACCCAGGTTTAATCATAGCTCTGATGCTTACAGTTGATGTGACCTTGAACAAGGCCTTTCTGCCCTCTGAGTCTGGTATAATATTAGGTGTACACTGGGGAACTCCGTGTATACATGCCCCTTCTTGGATTACAAATATAAACTGTTCACAGTCAACACTGTAAAATCATTTTGGCTCACATTTTCCTGTATTCTCACTATCCTTTTATAGGCTTTTAAAGTTAACTTAGGTAGGAAGAGGGCACAGAAAAAGCATTATAGTCTACAAACACTTTCCCTTCTTTGATGTTACTGGAAAAAGTGTAAAAATACAGAGAAAACAAAACTAACTAAAAATCACCCTATTCAGATATAACTATGTCCTAGTTAGGGTTACTATTGTTGTGATGAAACACCATGGCCAAGAGTGAGCTGGGGAGGAAAGGGTTTATGTGGCTTACACTTTCACATAGTAGTCCTTATTTAAAAGAAGCCAGGTCAGGAACTAAAACACAGCAGGAACCTGGAGCCAGGAGCTGATGCACAGGACATGGAGGGGTACTGCTTACTGGCTTGCCTCTCATGGCTTGCTCAGTCTGCTGTTTTATAGAACCCAGGACCTCCAGCCCAGGGATGGCACTACCCACAGGCTTGCCTACAGGCTGATCTTATGGAGGCATTTTCTCAATTGAGGTTCCTTCCTTTTGACAACTTTTTGTGTCAAGTTGATATAAAAGTAGCCTGTACATCATTAATGATTCTCTGGTCTACAGTCTCCATTTAGTCCTTTTCTACAAAGATAATTTATTAAATACATCTTAAAACTAAGAACTAAAATTCAGCAAGTGTCTACCGGGTGACAGGATCTTTCATTTTTGTTTGTTTGTTTGTTTTTGCTTAGGAATGTAAAGCAATTCCTTCTTTGCTACAGATCCAACATCTTCTCAAACAAAATAAAAATCAGGAAGGTGAAAACATTAGTTTACTGATTTTGAAATACTTACTCTTTATTTTGAGATGGGGTTGGTTCTACTGTATGTAGTCTAGGTTGGCCTAGAACTTGAGACTCTTCTGCCTCAGTCTCGTAAGTGTGCTGTGTGCTACTATCCCAGGCTGTGAAGAATTTTCTTCTCTATTGAGCTAGATGGAACATCCATTCTTTTGGAACCTACCAACCAGCTTTACAACATGAAATCATAAAGATCACTTTCCACAGATTCTTTTTTTTTAAGTCTTTAAAAAAAAGATTTATTTATTTATTTCATGTATGTGGGTACACTGTTGCTGTCTTCAGACACACCAGAAGACGGAATCGCATCCAATTACAGATGGTTGTGAGCTACCATGTGGTTGCTGGCAATCAAACTCAGGACCTCTGAGGAGCAGTCAGTGCTCTTAACCACTGAGCCATCTCTCCAGCCCCACAGATTCTTCTTTTTGGTTACTGATATCTTGAAAGGACTAGGTCTACTGGAAAGATGGCTCAGAATCAACAACTCCCCATTTTTGTTTTTAAATCAAAACAAAACGCTGATGATGCTTTGATTACTTCTTGACCTAAAATAAAACCACAGCTCAATAGAAATAAATTTAAGCCAGGTAGTGGTGGCGCACGCCTTTAATCCTAGCACTTGGGAGGCAGAGGGAGGCGGATTTCTGAGTTCGAGGCCAGCCTGGTCTACAGAGTGAGTTCCAGGACAGCCAGGGCTATACAGAGAAACCCTGTCTTGAAAAACAACAACAAAACAAACAAACAAAAAAACCCTAAAAACAACAACAATAAAAAAGAACTAAATTTAACCCAGATATTATTTTAAAGGGAAACATCTTTCTTCCATCTGTCTTTTCTGAGACAGGATTTTACTATGTAGCTATGGATGGCTTCGAACTTGCTCTGTAAACCAGGCTGACTTGGAACTTACATCCACTTGCCTCTGCTTCCTGAGTGCTTGGATTAAAGGTGTGCACCTCCAGTCCCAAAGAGTATAAACAGCCTTGGTTGCAATAGTAAATGAAAAAGGAGAAGATATCAACTATTGTTCCTGGGGATTTCATCTATAGGAGCAAGTGTTCTCCTTTGAAAGTCAGCTTAATTTCTTAGGTAACCCTTCAAAAGCACCTTGCTGTTAACTTATCAAATGCTCCTTTACACAGCCAATTCCTCTACATTCAAATTTCAAAATAGTGGAATCTGAGTAACAGATTTTTATAGCATTACACTCTTGATTATGGACACTCCATTGTGCCCAGGAATGAAATTCCTCATGCCTTTGCAGGTAATAGAAGGTTATTCTCCATGTATGACATATGTGAGGTAGGGTTAGTTCCTAAGGAATTTGCTGTTTAGGACATGGGCTTCCAGAGTTCTCAGCAAGCCAACTTACATGTCTGTGAAGAGGGCTGGAGAGTCAGGCCGATGAGACTGCACGTCCTGCATAGCATTCCATTCATTGACTGAGGACTGATCTGAGTTGATATGGCTCTCGTAATAACTCACCCAAGTGAGAAAAAGGCTGCCTGGATAGTAGTTATGCATTCTGGCCACTTCACAAGCCTTGTGCAAACTCTGTAGTGCAGACCTGAAAGATAAGCCTAGAAATGAGCACTATAAAATTATGGGGTACCAAAGGATAAAAATCACTTCTATCTCAAACTTGTCTGTTTTTTTAATTTTACAGAGTATCATTCTCTGGAGAATTTCCTCCCTCCATGGGAGTCAAGAGTCTCTGATCTTGCTTGTATCGCAAGGAGTTGGGGGAGGGGAAGAGAACTGACAACTAACTTCCCAGTGAAAAAATGGGTCTAGGAACCTGTGGCTTCATGTCCTTATCCTTGGACTCATGCTGTGACTGTGTCGTTAGCAAACAAAAATCTCAACAATTAACTATTTAAAATTTGTTTTTCTTTGGCACAGAATCATGTGATAGCTTATTCTCTATGATTCTTACAAGTTCCACAAAGATCACATGGGCAGATGCCCCTAAGCCACAGGGCTATGTCCTTTGATGTTCAGGGAGCACTGTTCTAATGACATTTACCATTCTTGCTATCTTAGTCTCCTAGTTCTTTAAACCATTTATTCATTCACACGAGTTACCTTCTAAGAATAGCTCTGGCTACACTGAGACGAAATTAAACCTTCTGACTCTGAACTCAGAAACCCAAGAAGGGTAAACAAAACTAAAAACTATCTTTTTTCTATTTACCTATACTAGAGCCAGAAATGCTAGAATTTCTGTAAACAAAACACACAAATGAAATGCTAAGAAGTAACTTACATAAAACCTAGGACCTTGTACATTTTGTTTACTGGTCTATCTCCAGTGCTTAAGTAATACCTAGATTATAGCTAAAGCTCAAATAAATGTCTTATTGGCTATAAGCTAATATTTTTCTCTTAAAGGAAAAGGAGGTGTAAGAGAATTCCATGGGAATTCATTTACATATTTTTCCTTATAATAGTTAACTTATTTATTTATTTAACTATTTTATGTGTGTGATTATTTGGATTGCATGTATGTCTGTGCACCATGTGTGCCTGGTGAAGTCAGAAGAGGACGAAGGATCCCCTGGAACTATAGTTACAGAGGATTATGAGCCACTGTTTAGGGCTGGAAATTAAATTTAGGGCTTCTGCACGAGCAATAAGTATTTTTAACTGTTGAGTCAATGTCTAACATCTATAAAATTAAAAACAAAAGATGTGTGAGTGGGTCCCTGTGCCACAGTAGCAAACGTGAGGGGTCCAGAGGTAAGTTTCTGGGTGTTAGCTCCCTCCTCAACCAAGAGTATCCTGCAGATCATACTCAGGTTGTCAGTCCCGGCAGTGACTTTACCTACTACGCCATTTCAAATGTCTTAAACATTTTTAAAGAATACCTTTTATTTTTCTCCCCTCTTAAGAAAAGTGGTCCATGCTAATTTTGAAAAGGTTCTATAATTGTTCAGGTGTGGTGGCTCCTGGCTTTAATCCCAGCACTTGGGAAGCAGAGGCAGGCATATCTCTGAGTTTAAGGCCAGCCAGGACTACTTAGGGAGTTCCAGGACAGCCAGAGCATAGAGACTGTCTCCAAAAGTCAAAAACTAAAGCCCAAACATAAAAGTTTTCTGGTGCTCATGTAGCATGCACGAGACACTGAGTTTGCTTCTCATTGTCACAAAATAAACAAGACAAATGGCAGGAATATCATTCAATCCCAGCACCACTACTCAGGTTTGGTGCTACTCTTCCCAGTTCTTGGTCTGTGCAGGCCATAATAAAAACTGTATGGCTCAATTATGCACTTATAACTTGCTCTTCTATTTTATAACCTGTCATCAACATCTGATTCAATAGTCTCCAAATACATTTTTTTTGAGACAGGGTCTCATATAAGTTAGACCTGACACTCATTATATATATAGTTCATTATGAGCCTGCACTTAGGACTTATCCTACTGTTTCCCTTCTGCCACTCCTCCAGTACTGGGAATGCAGATTATGTGCTACAATGCTCATTTTTTAATGGTTGCTTAATAGTGAATTACATGTATGTACAAAAATTTAACTGATTTTTATTTTCAAACATTTACATTCCAGTTTTTGTTATTGCATTGTAAAATCCTTGTACATACATAGTTATAATCTCCAGTAAATTCTTAGAATTACTAGGTTAAAAATGATAAGGAATCCTGACAAAGCACTCTCCAAAAAGGTTCCTCTAGTTTATTCTGCTAATTGGTTAGACATGTTCTTTAAGTCCACATCAATTCCATATCACATAAACTTTGAAAAAGTTCATTAAATTAGGGTTTTTTGTTGTTTGTTTGTTTGGAGACAGAGTTTCTCTGTGTAGCCCTGGCTGTCTTGGAACTCACTCTGTAAAGGAGGCTGGCCTCGTACTCAGAGAAGCCTGCCTCTGTCCCCCAAGTGCTGGGATTAAAAGTCTCTCCACTACTAGGCTAAAAAGGAATCTAAAAACATAACTTGTGGTTTTATTTCTGAAGTGTGTATGTGTGGTATACACATGTGTACACATCTGTGTGGATGTGTGTGCATGTGTGCTCCTGTATGTGGAGCTACTGTTGGATGTCTCCTCAGTCACTTTCCTTTTCATTTCTTTGAGACAGTTTCTTACTGAGTCTGGAGCTAATCAATTTGGTCAGGTTAGTAGGGTGATTAGATTCAGGTTTCCCTGGCTCTAGTCTGTTTTTTTTTTTTTAAAGTAGCTATTTCAGATTAAAAAAGTCTCTATGCTTCTGCAGCTAACACATGACTGAGTCACCTGTCAATCCCATAAGATGTTTTCTATTACTCAAAAGAGGCAAATGCTCAGAGATTTCAATTGTACTCCAGAGATTCCATACATACTCTCTTCATTTGGAAATTCACACTTTGCAATCATACCTTACAGATCTGTTGCAACTGCCCTATAATATACTCAGTGTTAGCTGCTTCAGATACAATGGCTGCATACAAGAATGGGAGACTACAGTAAATCTTGTCTGGTTAAGGAAGCACCTAGTCTAAATACTGCTTTGATTGACCACTAATATTTCTCTCATATGACTTTTTTTTTTGTTTTGTTTTTTTTGTTTTTCGAGACAGGGTTTCTCTGTGTAGCCCTGGCTGTCCTGGAACTCACTCTGTAGACCAGGCTGGCCTCGAACTCAGAAGTCCGCCTGCCCCTGCCTCCCAAGTGCTGGGATTAAAGGCATGCACCACCACTGCCTGGCCTCATGTGACTTTCAATTCAATATTACTCAAAAAAAATTAACAGAACAATGACTAGTCAGTTTATTTGACAACATCAATTCTTGATCTGAGGTTATTACTTGAATTAAGGCTGCTTTGTCTTCCTCTTCAAAATATATCTGAAAAGCACTGTCATTCTACTATACACGTGGGAATAGATAGGTTAACTGACTCTAACTATTAGTCAAAGGAGATCATTAAGTTTTCCATAAAAATTCACCTGTGAACTATGCTATAAATCTATAGATGTGGTCTAAACACATCGAAAACTGTTCTACCTCAGTTACTTCATGGAATACTAAGAAAGGTTCAGTGACAATGAAGATTCACTTCTGTTATGCAGGCTTAGATTATTTCCTGGATCATTCACTTCCTGCTTTGCTTGCCTTCTACTTATCCATTCTACCTATCATGAGGGGCTTCTATTATAGAACAGGCAGTAGAATGAGAAGCAGAAATTTATTTGTTGTGTGTGTGTTTGTGTGTGTGTTATGAGTGTTTGTGTATGTACAGATTTGTGTGTACATGTGTATATCCAGATGTCAATGTTGTACGCCAAATGACATCTACCTAATTGCCGGCCATAACATCTCACTGAACCTGGAGTTCAGTGAGCTCCAGGGATTTGCTTGTCTGGCATGTCTCTTTTCTTCCCCAATTCCCTGTGACACTAAGGTTTCAGATGAACACTATGTCTGGCTTTGCATGAGCATTGGTATCTGAATTCAGACCCGTATGCTCACACGATGAACACTTTCTGATTGAAATATCTCAGTTCCCAGAAACTAAAGGCTACTGACCCTCAAGTCACATTATTCCCTGGTTATATTACATCATTTTCTAGATAAGTGAACAAGGGTCTATTATAAACAAGATACTCTCAGGTCAGTCATGTAACCCTAGCAATGCCTCAGTTCTCTCATCCACAACAGGGTGCTAACAACACTGCTCTGTGGTACTGGTGTAATGATAAAATATAAGGCATTCAAAACATCTGGCACAAAGCGAATAACTTAAAAGTGTCAGTATATGGTTGGTTATTAACAATAGTTTCTTTAAGTTTTATTTGCATTATACAAACAATTGCTAGTATTTTAAAAGAGAATTTATCTATCTATAATGTAACTCTGTCAATGTTTTTATCTGATTATCATATGATGCTAAAAGCTAGTGCATAGCAGTAAAATGTATAGATGTGGATCTCACACAAGCATGGTCAGTGTGAAATAGTTCTTTTTATTTTTTTATTTGATATTTTATTAATTTACATTTCAGATGTTATCCCCTTCCCCCATTTCCCTCTCCCCCTATTAATCTCCTATTCCATCCCTTCTCCTCCTTTTTTGCTTTTACACTGTTTAGATTACATGTAACTATTAAGGTCAGTTCTAGGTGGAGGAACTAGCAATACAATAGATGCAAATAGTCAAGGAACAAGCAAGACAATAAACCCAGATAGTCAAAGAACATGCAGGACAATAAACAGAGTCTCATGATCACTCCTGTGATCACTGTTTCTAAGGGCTTATCAGGATGACCAAAATATCTGAGCCTACTTCCCTGTCCTAGCCCAAAGTCATTTTCATGCTTGAAGCCAACTTCTTTGTTCCAGCTTAAGATTTATGTTCCTGCCTGAAATTACTTCTTTGTTCTAGCCTAATGTCAGATTCCTGCCAGGCAGCCCCAAAAGCTCTCCCTCTTTTTTATTTCATTAAACAGACTGAACCTGTCTTAGGTTGTTCTGACAAGAATGCCTTCATTATCTGTCATGGAATATGCATTATCAAAAGCAATGCACTCCTGTCTTAGGTTGGTAAGGATCTGTGCAGAATCTTACCTGTTCTTGGCTTGCCAGCCTGTTAAATTAATAACTCTGTCGGGGGTGGGGGGGGTGAAATACAGTTCTAATGGGCTCTTTGGTAATCCATTAACATCTCTTCTAGAGCTAAGTAGTTTCTCTGAATTTCACTTGTTCACCAACGCACAAAGCTTTCCATTGTGAAAATTTAAAAATTGCATTTCTGAGCCACATTCAACCATGGTTACCATGCAATCAGATCACACACACACACACACACACACACACACACACCCTCTACATATACAGCATTCTCATAGAGAATTGTTATTTCAAGTAGTTCTTCTCTCAGAAAGCATTGTTTTAATAACACTAAAGAACTTAAAAAAAAAAGAACAACTTAAAAAAAAACCCACAGTTTTATAGAGATATCAAAAGCCATCTTACCACATTGCTTGCACAGATACTGGTTTGAATATGTGAACTCTGTTATCTGTTGATACGCTGAACCCACTAAGAGCAAAGGAGAACAGACAAAAGTCCACAAATAAGGGTCAGGTATTTCAAATTTGCTACAACAGCTGACTGATTAATTAGAAGAAACAATCAGATATGTCATCTAGAAGTTAACTAGAAGTAGGATATGACTGAAATGTTTCAACATGGCAACCGAGAGAAGGAGAATCAAAATATTCTCCAGGGACAAGTGCCTTGCCAGGTAACCGAACTGTAGGGGTCACCTCTAGATCTAAACAAATATGAGCAATACCAGATGGACTCAGCAGGCTATATATAGATATATATGTATATACATGCATAAATATGAAATAATAATAACTAAAGAAGTAGTAGTGACTTTGCAAGGGAGTGGTGAAACATAAGAGGAGTTGAAGAGAGGGAGGAAGTGATATAAATACAATACTCATACAAAATTCTTAAAAATAAATTTAAATAAAGAAAAGCTTCAACAAATTGATTTTATCTGTTAGGCAAAATTAAGGTATTCTGATGTGTATTTCTATTTGGAAGCCTTTTGATTCATAGCAAACCTGACCTGGGTTTTATAAATTGGAACAAACATTTCAGTCTCTTGGGAACACATTTTAAAAACACCAGGAGGTGGGGGCAGTTGACTGGAAGGAACTGGCTCAGGAAAGGGGTTATACAGCGGGCTGACAGCTGGCAGAGGATTCGGGAGGTTATTTGAAACTGAACACATCACCCTCTGGGAGAACACACGAAGAACAGTCCCACATGTTCACATTGAAGGGTGAGCCAACAAACTACTACATCTTTGCCTGGCTTCCTAACATGGCTTAAAAGAACAGAAGTGAGCCACTTCTGTTGTTTTTACTCTACTTTACTAGATGAGAGTTTTAGGGCCTTATTGAGCTTCTGACACATCAATTCAGTTGGCCACAATGGGCCTCCCATTCAGCTAAATGAACTACTAGCATTAAGATGGAACACACTCCTTGGCTTTCTGTAGGAGGGAGGGAGGGAGGGAGGGAGAGAAAAAGAGAAAAAGAGAGAAAGAGAGAAAGAGAGAGAGAGAGAGAGAGAGAGAGAGAGAAAGTGCTTACCCATCACCATCCAAATGAATTAGGGTGTCACTCCAGAGAGGCAAGACCAAGCCCATGGTACAAGTGCTACTGCAAGACAAGAAATAATCAGTAACTTACTTTCTGTTATTCTGGGAAGCAGTCATCATTTATTAACTTTCAACAAGCCATAACCCCTAATTGTTTATCCTAATGATAACACAGTGGTTCTCAACCTGTGGGTCACAATCCCCTTTGAAAGGAGTTGACTAAAAACCATCAGAAAATACAGATATTTATATTATAATTCATAACAGTAGCAAAATTATAGTTATAAAGTAGCAAGAAAAATACTTTTATATTGGGAGGTCTGTCACCAAACATGAGGAAATGTATTAAAGGGTTACAGCATGAGTAAGGTTGAGAACCACTGCCCTAAGCAATAAATTGTGTCATAAATCTGTACATATTCTCAGGATTACTTTGATCACTGCTGACTTGTATTTGGTAGGACTTTGTCTGGGATACAGTATCCAACACAATCCCAAGATTTTATCCTTTTGTTTTTTGAGGGGATAGGAGCTATGGACAAAGTTTCATGTAACCCAGGATGGCCTCAAACTTAACACATAGAAGCTGGCCTTGAACTCTTGATCCTCCTACCTTCACCTGCTGAGTGTTGGGATTACAGGTAAGCAGGACAATAACTATTCTCAAGGACTAGTTTTAATGTCAAGAACTACTGCTGGTTGCTCAAGAGCTTGGAATAAATAATTTATTCAACCTTAAGTTATACTGAACAATATAACACTAAACAGTCTTAAAAAGGAAAGGAATTAAAAATACACAGAAGTAATAGTCATGGCTTGTTATCAAGTTAGAGAAATAAAAATACAATTTAAATAAAATAGTACTTGGTCTTATATGTGTGAATATGAGTGTAAATGAGATTTTAAAAAATAAATTTTATTTTTATTTTATGTGCATTTTGTGTGCATATATGTCTGTGTATCACTTGCATGTCTGGTACCTATGAAGGCCAGAAGAAGGTGTTAGATTCTCCTGGAACTGGAGTTATAGATGGTTATGAGCTGTTATGTGGGTGCTAGGAATTGAACCTGAGTCTTCTGGAAGAGGACTGCTGAACCATTTCTCTAACTTCCTGTTTTGTTTAAGACAGTCTGACTATGTAGTCCATACTGGCCTTGAACTTGAAATTCTCTTATCTCAGCCTTCTCTACCTTGAGATTATAAGCACTTGCTATCACACCTGACAAAATAATGCTATGTACTGAACTAGCACTGCTGAAATGCAGAATAGAGATGTCAGCAACCAATAAAAGGGTGGTTGTTGTACTATGTAATACTAAAATATTGTTCAGGTTCTGGTGTTGTAAGTCAGTGGTAAAGTATGTGATCTGCCCTAGGTTCAGCCACACACCAGCTTAGGAAGGAAACCGGCTCTAAGTGAATAGAACAGGTTGGTGCAGGAAGCCCTGGACTCCTGATCAATTCATCGTATGCTCTGTGACTCCACTTCTCTGGACAACCTTCATCATTCTGTCCATTTCTCCTCTTTAAGGATCTTTAAAGTTTTCAGTTTTGTTGGGTATGCTAGCACACACCTTTAATTCCAGTATTTGGGACATAGAGGCAGGCAGACCTCTGTGAGTCTGAGGCCAGTATGCTCTATAACAGTAAGTTTCAGGGAAGCCAGGATGACTCTTACCTCACACACACAAGTCTTTTTGAAAATTTATGAATGTGTATGCCATCTGTATATGGGTATGTGTACATGAGTACAGACACCTGTGGAAGCCAGAGTCTTCAGATCTCCTGGAGCCAGAATTATAGGCAGTTGTGAGGTAACCACTGTTCATCTGAGAACTGAACTTGGGTCCTCTGCAAGAGTAACGCATACTCTGCTTAGCCATCTTTTTTGCCCCTTAAGGATGTATCTTAAACTACTTCTTGCTTCTGGACATTTTCAAAGGGATTCTTTATCTGCTCCCTCCCAATATATCTACAGAGACAGCATAGTATAGCAGAAAGAATGCTGGACACGGAAGTGGGATGGTGTTATTAAGATCATGGCTCTCAGTCAGATGGACTCTGGAACCTGGCTCCTAGCAGTAATGACTTTTCTCCAGGCCTTACACAGGCTAGGCCAGAGCTCTCTACTTCTGAGCTACCCCTCAGCCTTTAAACTGTGTAATCTAAAATTACTTAATTGCTTGTGTTTGTCTCTTCATTTATAAAAGAGGGACAGAATAACCTTTACTCTCCTGTTTTAAGATCAAGTATATGAAAACATATATGAGTGTTTCTAAACACAATAGTTTCTATTCAATAAGTATCTACTATGCCAAATATCTGGATTTAATCTCTTTTGGTACTGAAACTCTTGACTAGTTACTTAATTCCTCTCAGCCTTAAGTTCTTCGTCTTTCAAAGTAGGTTACAAACCTGGCCTCACAGGAAAGGTTAGAAGGAGGAAAGGGAATGGGGGAAATGATGCAATTATGTTTCCTTTCCTTTTTTATTAATTATTTATTTGCTTTACATCCCAATTATAGCTTCCCTTCCCTCCCCCTTTCCTCAGTAAAGGGAGGCCTCCCAAACATGTGTAATTATGTTTTAATTTTTAAAAAAATTAAAAAAGGATTTAAGTAGGCTAGAGAGATGGCTCAGTTAAAAGAACTTGTTGCTTCTTCAGAGGACCCAGGTTTGGTTCCCAGAATCATATGACAGCTCACATCTGTTTGTAATTCCAATTCCAGAGAATCCAATGCCTTCTTCTGGCCACTATGGGCACTCCATACACACAGCACACAGACACACATGTAGGCAAAACACCCATACACATAAAATAAAAATAAAAAGATTTTAAAAAGATTTAAAATAAAGCTAGGCACGGTAGCACAAAGTACTTGAGGGACTGAATTTGAGTGTTTTAGGCACTGGCTTATATAGTAGTAACCTTTTGTTCCCCATGTCTTCCTATCCCCTCAAAAAAACAGGAGAAAGAAAAAAATTTAAGATATTTCTCTCTCTCTCTCTCTCAACAGTTAGTCAAGGAATCAAAGAACCATTATAATCTAAAACACAGATGCACACCAAACTTTTATGCATCCAAAAAAAAGTATGCTACTGGAATTAAAGACCCATTAAGAGTAGGTAACTTCAACACCACATTTCTTCAACAGACAGGTCATTTAGACAAAAAATAAACATAGAGACATCAGAATTATAAGTAATAATACATCAAAAGGACTTAATAGATATCCATAGGAGAAAATTCCACCTAAACACTAGTAGCCCATGGAAACCTCTCTATAACAGACCATATCCTAGTATACAAACAAAAAATCTTTTTTTTTGTTTTTTCGAGACAGGGTTTCTCTGTGTAGCCCTGGTTGTCCTGGAACTCACTCTGTAGACCAGGCTGGCCTCGAACTCAGAAATCCACCTGCCTCTGCCTCCCAAGTGTTGGGATTAAAGGTGTGCACCACCACTGCCCGGCATGGAAACTTAGTCATTTAAAACTACAATACACTTCTCAAAATAAGCTAAATGAATTAGCTACAACATCACTACTTGTATTTATCAAGCAATCTGTCTTCTACTTTGATTTATTTTTTTTTTGTATCTTGCTGCCTGATACCATACATCCCTCTCAGATGCATTAGAACACCTATTCTAGGTTAACATTTGATGTAATTTTATAGTGTAATACATTAACATGTTATTTCACTTTGGTCATTCAGTAATGAGTTGAAACATATTTTCATATTTGGTATATAAAATAATATAATAAATTCCTTTAAGAGTAACTGAGCACTAGTATTCTGAAACCAACAGTATTTCTCTTACTGTAAAACAGGCTCGCTCAACAGAAGACGCATAGGATTTTGTGTCTTTAGCTCTTCATGCCCCAGTTTGTTTCCTAGATACTAAAATTTTGTTAATGCAATGGCATCTGTTAGGTATGATGCAGACAGGACTATTAGAACAAACTGATGTGGTTTGCTGAGGATAAATTACCAGTCACCCACGGAAAGTGTCTGCCCAGGCATCTGATGGCTCATACTCTAGAGTCAGAGTCTGAACTTACTGCCTCCAGCTTCACTTCTAGTTCCTGCTCTACAGAGTTTTCAACTGAGGAGTCAAGGGGAACTGAACAAAGGAAAAATGGCCACAGCAATTCTGTCATCTAACTGCACCATACTGCTCCACCGGGGAGCTGTAAACCACACATGACTACTAAGACAGTACATGGAACATGATTAGTTATGACTGAGAATGTTTTCTTACATACCATTATTTTAGTATTTACTTATTTAAATAGCTAGGTGTTAAGTGGCAAATGTACTAGAGAATATAGGTCCAGATAGGTAAAAGTCCAAATCAGAGGTCATAAAATTCCAATGAAGGTGGAAAGGTAGGTATTTTCCCCACTTCCTCATCCTCGAGATAGTCTATATATAGCCCTGGATGGCCTGAACTTACTACACAGACAAGGCTGGCACCTTCTTGGTAATTCTTCTGACTGTGCCTCTGGAGTGATGGGATTACTGGAGCATGCTACCATTCTCAAAAAATGAGTATTTTCTTACTAAAAGGGCTGTTACTTATGAAAAACACTAGAAGCTAAAGCCACAAGAGAAAGCTTCCAAAAAGTGGTTGCCAAACCTCTATAAATTCAGAGCATATAATTAAACACTGTAAATGGTATACATGTTCACAACTCTGGCCTTGTGATCTTTACAAGCTTGCAAGCCATTTCCCAAGTCTTCCCCTGCTCCCCAACTTGTCACACCTGGGAAGAGGGAAAGAAAGCTCAACTAAAGAACGGTCTTGATTGGACTGGTCTGTCAGCTTGTCTATGGGGCATTTTTTTTTATTGCTAATTGATGTAGGAGGAGCCAGCCTATGGTGGGCAGTGCCATTCCTAGGCAAGTGGGCCTGTGTTGTCTAAGGTAGTTAAAGCCTGGGAGCAGGCACGTCAGCATCTTTGCTCTATGATATCTGCTTGAGTTACTGACTCCAGGTTCCTGCCCTGGCTCCCCATGATGCTGGACTATAATCTGTAACCGAACTCTTTCCTCCCAAACTTTTTTTTAAAAAATAATTTTATTTTATTTTGTGTACATGAAGTAGCATGCTGGAGGCTAGAAGAAGACGAGCTGGTTTGTCCCACTATGTGGGTCCTGGGGAACTGACCCAGGTTGTTGGGGTTGGCAGTAGGTACATTTACCCACTTAGCTATCTTACCAAGTTGGTTTTGGTCGGAGTTCTATTGCAGCAACACAAAGCAGAGCAAGACAACTTCTGTGTACAAACTAGAGTAAACACTGATTTGGGGAACTCTCTAGAGATACTAAGATTTCCCTGCCCCCTCCTCCAAATCAGAAGGACAATCATTGTCATCTATACCCCTTCCTCCAAACCCAGGGCTTTGTGCATGTGCATGTGTGTGTAAATTCCCCAAGGCCTGGGCCACACCCCTAGCTATTGCACAATTCCATTCTAGTCCTAAACCAGGAAGTCATGATTTGAGACATCTGGCAGGATTTCCTGTGGCTTATTATCTCAGAGTGGAAAGATCTGCTTAGCAGCCACATTCCACAGTCTTCTCAAAGGTTCTTCAGAAACAGTAGGGAAATACAACAGAAAAGCCTAAAGCCTTAAGGATATACCCCCAGCTCCCCCCAGTGAACAACAACAACAACGATAATGATAATGACCCAGGTTCTCTCTAAGATATCTTTAATTACAGGAAGCAAAGTACGAATGAGTTTTGAACCCAGGACCAGCGGTACATTACCAAGAAATGTATGTACCCTTGGATTATCAAAGTAGAACATTACTGATTGAAAGAAGAGATTGACAGGAGAAAGAAACATTACCCCAGAGCTATGTTTCCATTTGCTTCATTATTATTAGTAGTACCTAACAATAAGAAAAAGGTAAAGAATACGAGTAAATGTCAAAGACATTTACCAAGTGTCACTGTCTCTGAAGATCATGGTCAAAACTTATTTCCTAGTTTTATGCATCTATGTGTGTATACATGTGTTCAGATGTTTATGGGATACATTTGGAAGGCAGAGGTCATCCTTGGGTATCTCCCTCAATTGCTCTTCACCTTAGAGACAGTTTCTCACTGAACTCGGCTCTCACAGATTTGGCTAGGATAGCTCCTTGGCTGGCCTCTGCCAGCCAGCAAGTCCCAGAGATTACCCCGTCTCTACTTCCTCACTGCTGGGATTACAGGCACATACTGCTGTGTCTAGGGTTTCCACCAATGCTAGGAACTAACTCAGGTACTTGATCTTACACAGCAAACACTTTATCAACTAAGCTATCTCCTAGGGCTGTCACGAATTGTTTTGTAACTTAAAAATTTCATTGCCACGTACTCACTGTAAAAGATAATGGGCTCCACTGTGATGCCTTCATACATATATGTCAACTATTTTCATAAACATATATACTATGGTGGTTTGAATAAGAAAGATCCCCACAGGCTCAGAAGTGGCACTACTTGAGAAGGATTAGGAGGTGTGGCCTTGTTGGAGTAGGAGTGGCCTTGTTGAAGGAAGTGTACTAGGTAGCCTTTAAGGTTTCAAAAGCTCAAGCCAGACCTAGTGGCTCTCTCTTCCTGCTACCTGTGGATCTGGATGTAGAATTCTATGCTACTTCTCTAGTACCATGTCTGTCTGCGTGCTGTCATGTTCCCTGCCATGATATGATGACAATGGACTAAATCTTTGAAATTGTAGGCAAGTCCCAATTAAATGCTTTTTAAAAGTAAATGTTGTGGTTCTGGTGTTTACTCATGGTAATAGAACAGTGATCAAGATATATATCAAGAATACAAGCTGGGCATATTGGCTTACACCTTTAGCCCTAGCACTTGGGAAGCAGAGAGGCAGGCTGATTTCTGAGTTCAAGGTCAGCCTGGTCTACATCAGAGAGATCCTGTCTTAAAAAGATAAAACAACACACATGCACAAATCTTACCCTCTTACCTTCTTGTCCCACTTTATCTTGAATTTTAAAAGTTTAATTAAACAAGACACCTTTGTAATAGCTTTAATAACTGTAGCAGGTTATTTAAAAAGTAGTTCTCTTAAAAAGTAGTTTTCATGCCCCTTCCCAATTTTTTTTTTTTTTATGGTATCATACCTGTCATTAGAAGAAAAATCCATTCCCAGGACAATGCTTTCTTCAGTGTCTTGCCTACCATTAGTTGAAACCACTACCATATAGCGTGTTCGATTTTGGTAAGTACTTTCCAGTCTTACAGCCTGAAGTAAAGAGATAACAAAGAAACAAAAAAATTTAGAGAAATCTCTTTTTTTTGTTTGTTTTTGTTTTTTCGAGACACGGTTTTTTCTGTATAGTCCTGGCTGTCCTGGAACTCATTCTGTAGACCAGGCTGGCCTCGAACTCAGAAATCCGCCTGCCTCTGCCTCCCAAGTGCTGGGATTAAAGGCGTGCGCTACCACTGCCTGTCTGAGAAATCTTAAATCATTTAATATTTTTCCCTTTTTTGTATTTAAATAAATTTTTTATTGGATATTTTATTTACATTTCAGATGTGATCCCCTTCACCATTTCCCTCCCACCCGGAGCCCCCATCCCATCCCCCCTCCTCCTGTTTCTATGAGGATGTGCTCCACCCACCCACCCACTCCCACCTCCCCATCCTTGAATTCCCCTACACTGGGAATTTTTTTTCCTTTTAAACCAGTGTCTCATAGCATGTCACCAAGGCAAGAGAGTCAATAGTTAGGAGACCTAAATTCAAATTTCAACTCATATAGTAACTATAAAACCTTTGATGTAATACTAAATTAACTGGAGAGATAATAATGTTATGTTGTTTTTAAGAATCTGGGCATACAATTCAAAATTCACATAGTTGGGATTGATCATAAGATGCCTTCTCTAACTAAACAGAGAAGGGGGAGATGCCAGAAGCCAGGACCCTCGCCCATACCCTCACCCCCTACCTTTCCCCACCTGCACAATGTCCTCTGAAGCTTGGCAACTGCAAGATCCTGCTTAGCAACTGCAGATAGACTCAAAGCAGTGTACCATATCATCTTAAGAATAGCAGGGAGACCATAACTCAAGCAGTGTACCATATCTTCTGAAGAACAGCAGGTAGATCATAATTCAAGGCAGTGTACCGTATAGACCATGACATGTTTCAAGGCACAGGCCAAGAAGATTTTGTACTTTTCCACCACCTGGCCCCTCTTACCCCCTCCCCTTGTAAAACATGCTATAAAAAAGCATTTCATGTTCAAAATAAATAAATAAATAAATAAATAAATAATTAAAAAAAAAAAAGAATCTGGGCATACAAACCACACTTAAGACAGGCCCCATATCCAGCAGTAGATGACCAACACAAAATGAACTCAATGGTATTTTTTGAGATTTTTTTTGAGGGGGGGGTCTCAATTTTGCTTTGTTTTTTAACCTTACTTTTCCTTGTGTATTAAAGTTTCTGATTTTGTGTTATCACAGATTTTTGTGTGAATGTATGTGTCTGTGTTTCTTGTGTATTTTCATTGTTGTTTCTTTTTGTTTATTTTGATTTGTTTTAAAGAGAGAAAGAAAAAAAAATAAAGAAAGAAGGTGTGCATATGAGAGAGAGGAAATCATGACTATACTGTATGTAAATCAGAATATATTATATGAAAAAATTATTTTCAATGAAAAATAACAATATACAAGATAAGCACATAAGTCACTATAAATATACATTAAGTTGGTCAAACTCAAAATGCTATAGATGTGTATTTTACTGAAGCATATAGTATTCATATACTATAAAGTATATATAATGTTTTATAAAATTTATCAATATATTATATGTATATCTCTTAAATAGTCTATGCATCTATATGTATTAATCTGTCTCCACAAACTTTGGGGCAAGGTAATAATCATTCATACCAAGTCTCTGTTTCTCTTAGTAAAGATTACTTATTTCGCCAAGCTTTAGTTAGGCTCCTGTACTTTGTCTAGATCTATCTGTGTAATTTCCTGCAAAATTAAACTTTAGCAACCCCCCCCCACAAAATTTATTTATCTGGAATATACATCATCTCTACTGGATAATCTTTGAAATCTAACTGGGTTTCTCATTCTCCTCTATCTCCTAAGTGATATATGATCACCCTGGCCTATCTTCAACAAAAATCATTTAAATCATTTCAAGCCAAAACTTGGGGTTCTCTGAAATCCAAAGCCTACTGAGCCATTACAGATGCTAACCAGAGAAGGCCCTTATCTATGGGTAAGTTTTTCAACCACCTCAGGGAAGTGAGGCAGCAAATGGAAACCAAGTTTTTGAAAACTTTAGCCCATAGGAAACATTTTTCACTCAAACCACAAAGTATTTACATTGAATCCACATTGACTACAGGAAAGTATGAACTATTGAGAAGCAGGCAGAGGTTTGAGATGGGAGGTCAGTCTGAATGAAGAACCTATTGCTTGATTGGCTGAGGCAAACAGTCCAGATAAATGTATTTATAAAGAGTATATGATATAGCCTAGTGGCTTGCTTGTCTAGAATTCAGCCTAGCTTTCAATCATGACTCAATAATGGAGGAGACTCTATTAAGTTGATTTGGCACAAAAGTGTTAACAGAAGAATCTTTCCCTCTACCCTCTAACCCTTAAAATTAAATTTAGGATAGTTAAGGATTTTAAAAAATATATTTGTTTATATAAAGTATGTGTGTGTGTGTGTGTGTGTGTATCTGTAGAAATTAGAGGTCAATTCTGGGTATCTTCCTCTAGCCTAGATTATTCTTTGCTTTATTTTTTGAAACAGGATCTTTTCACTAAAGATCATTGGGTCTAGACTGGCTGACCGGCATTGGGAGCACATGCTATTATCGGGTTTTCACTACTACATAAGTGTTGAGTATCCAAACTCACAACCTCATGCTTGCATGGTGAGGGCACTACTACACAGCTCATCCACTGTTACCAGCTCCCTATTTCCTCAGCTCACAGGGTTTTGCCAATTTAGTCTGGGTCCTTTACTTATCTTTTATATTTCCTCTCAGCAGCTTTTATCATTTGGCTATGAATTTCTGCTTGCCCACGCTGAGTTTACAATTAAGCCCAATTCTATACTGAGGTCTCCCAGCTTTCTCTCAATAGTCCTGACTAAAATTTGTTTTTACCACTTTTTTTTTTAAAAAAAAGAATCTTATGAAATAATGAATGTGCCATTCTAGTGTGCATTTCTATGAGTAGAATTTACAATAACAACTGCCAACACATGTTCTATAGACTGAAGAGGGAAGATGAGGAACAGGAATGTAAGCACCAATCATACAGATAAAATCTGTACAAGCTACTATAATATGAAGCAAAATATTAGCATTATCCCAGGGAAGTTTCTAGCTCTGTGCAAATGAGTATCTGTAAGTAACAGATATTTAAATATAAAAACACATGTTTGCATATATGTAACAGTCTGATGGTTCATATATGCTTGGCCCAGGGAGTGGCACTATTAGGTGTAGCCTTGTTAGAGTAGGTGTGTCACTATGGATGTGGGCTTTAATATCCTTGTCCTAGCTGCCTTCAGAACAAGAGGTAGAACTCTTAGCTCCTCCAGCCCCATGTCTGCCTGGATGTCATGTTCCAGGCGTTAGTATTCTGTCTAAACTCCACCTCCACAGTTACCTGGCAATAGCCAGGCATGCTCCTCCCGGCAGTTACCTGACAACAGCCAGGTAGGCCTGCCCACTATAAAAGGGGCTGCCTGCCCCCTCCTCTCTCTCTTACTCCCTTACTCCCTCACCTGCAGGTCCCCTCTGCCCCTTGCCCCTCCCCCCTTCCCTTCCTCCTCTCTCCACATGGTCATGGCTGGCCACCACTTCTCTCCTCTCTCTCTCCTCTTTCTCTGCCATCTTCTCTCGCTTCTCTCCCACCCTCCACCCTGAATAAACCCCACCCTCGTGGAACTGTTTGGTCTGGCATTATCTGTCTAAGCTACTCGTGAAAAATTTAACACCAGGCCATGCTCCTGCCTTGATGATAATGGACTGAACCTCTGTACCTGTAAGCCAGCTCCAATTAAATGTCATCCTTATAAGAGTTGCTTTGGTCATGGTTTCTGTTCACAACAGTAAAACCTTAAGACAAACAGGAGTTTTTCCCTCTTACTTCTGATTTACTCATTATTATTGTGTTTGTCTGTATGTGTATACATGTATTGGTGCATGCATAGAAGTCATAGGACAATTTTGTAGAGTTTTCTCTTCTCACCTTCATGTGGGTTCCAGGGATTGAATGCAGTTTATCACGTTATCTGGCAAGAAATTTTACCTATGAAACCATTTCAGGGGCTGCTTCCTTTATTTTTTTCTAGATAGTTTTGTTAGGTACATCAGGGTCGAACTCACAGAAATCTTACCTCAGCCTGAGAGTACAGGCCTGTGTCACAATGTCAGCTTCTTCTTATATTCATTTATTTTATTTAATGTGTGTGAGTGTTTTGCTTGCATGCATTTGCATCCCATGCCCACTTGGAACCTTTGGAGGGTATCAGATCCCCTGGAACTGTAGTTTCAGATGGTTGTGAGTAGCCATGTAGGTCCTGGGAACTGAATCGGGGTTCTCTGCAAGAGCAGCCAGTGTTCTTAATGGAAGAGCACTCTCTTTAGTCCTTTAAAGGTTTGTGGGTTTTTTCTTTTCTTTTTAAGATGAGAGTCTGTCTGTGTAGTCCTGGCTGTACTGGAACTTACAATATACACTTAGGCTGGCCTCAGACTCAGAGTGAGCCACCTGCCTCTGGCTCAGCTTGTTCTTTGCTTTTTACAATTAAAGATTTCCTTTTCAGAAACTTCTTAGTTTTTTTTTTGTTTTGTTTTTTTGTTTTGTTTTGTTTTTCGAGATAGGGTTTCTCTGTGTAGTCCTGGCTGTCCTCGAACTCAGAAATCCACCTGCCTCTGCCTCCCAAGTGCTGGGATTAAAGGTGTGCGCCACCACCGCCCGGCAACTTCTTAGTTTTTAAAGGTTTTAATTCACTGTTTATTCATTCAAAGTACCTTCAGAAAACTGGACTTAAATGAAATTCAGGGCTTACCTGTTAGTGTTATAATGGCAGTGTGGTCATTGTGCCTCTAAAGGCCTGAGGTGAAAGCATGGGGCCTGAGTCTTGTTTTAGGATATTCCAATGGAAAGAGAAAGGAGGAGGATGGATGAAAGAAACCAGGCAAAGAGTGATGGCTACTGAAGCTAAGTTACACATTTACTGGGTATATTT